TATGCAGTGATTGCAAGTTATCTTGATGAGATATTTTTTGTAGATATTTTTTTTTATTATGAGAAGAAAGAGAATTTTTCCATGTTTATATTGTCAGTTGATATGTATATATTAACTCTTGATACTGGCGACAATTTGTATTCGGCGTATCAGATTGTAATAAATTCTTTTTACATGTTCCTTACGCAAAATACTAAAAGGAAATAGACTTAACTTTTAATTTCTGTAAGATTTCGTCACAATTTTTTATATGTTTTAATTATATAACTTTTTTGAAAATAACTGAAATATTTAATATTCTTTTAGCTCCGGCAACCGAGAGTAGCTACGAGTGCGAAAGATTAAATGATAAATGTAAACGAGATAAATTCGAACGGCTTTCGATCGGATGTAACACGAGTGCATGCGAACAGCGTGCGGTCGAGTGCGAAGCCAGTAGATACGGGCGCTATATGGCCGGACGGAGAGCAAGTAGATCGTTCGGTCAGACGCTTCACTAGATGCAAATGACGTTCGGTCATCACAGTTACGCAGTTACGCAGAAGATAAGGCCTGTGCGTGGTCTTCCGCGAAAGCTTGGTACAAAGAGCAAAAGTGACCTTTCCTTCCCATCGTTTCACTCGCCGACGTGTAATTTGAGCTTCCAATTGTCGTCATCCCTCTCAATCGATCATTTCCTATCTTTTTATTATTTCAGCCAACCGCCATGAGAGATATTTGGCGCGAGATATGAGATGCGGGATATTAAGTAAATATTCCATTTCGCTAAGAAATCAGAATATCATGCGGATGTTTATTTTCGAGGTCTTAATTTCAACGTTTTATATTTTCATGCTTAACATTGGAATCAACGAATAGTCAAAACTGTTTTGTAACATTTTATAAATATTTTATATAAGAAACTTTTTATAAGAAATTACTCAAATAAATTTTATGAACGAAATTACTGAAACTATTAAATTTACTAAAATTAATATAACGATGCATTTTGTAGTTTTAATAGACATTGAATAGTATTAAGAGAAATAAATAAACATTTTTGTTCTTGTATAACATATTTTCAAAAAACTATTTAGATCGCTCCGGTAGAAACATGTCATATTAATCGTTGGTAGTTTTAGTTTGCGCATACATTTATTGCTACGTGATTTTATTTTTAATATGATAAAATTGGGATTATTTTTAATTTGATAAAATTGGGAAAAACATTAATTGAAAATAAAGTGAAACTTATATAGTATAGTATCGAAAAAATTCATATCTTAAGGTTATCTTAATTAATTAAAAAAAAAAAATAGAGTAAGTTAGAAGCAGCTGTAAGAGAATCATAGTCAAATATTTGAAAATGAAATACATTCAAAAGTCATAGACAAAGTTTTCATTTTTTAACCAATATTATAATAATATATGCATTCCTTTTGCAAATAATACACTAAGAAAATATTGTTTATATATTACGCAAGCAGAAGTCGATAAAAATAAGAGTCTTCAAATATCTCTTCAAAAATGGTAGTTTCACTTTCTCCACGAGTTGACATCGTGACATATAATTGTCGTTTTGTGCAGTTCGGGCTTCTGAAAATTTCGCTTTGCAGGTTAAGATGGCGAATTCCAGCATCAACGAAGCATAATAATCCGAGCGAGCTACACGGATGACGGAATGTTGTAATACCAAAGCGGTGAATCAGGTGACGAATAGCAAAGTCACGGGCACGGTAAAAATCATAGAAAGAGGAGCGCAACGGCGATACACAGGGACGAAGGGGATCTGATGGAAAACATTTTTAGATGGCACTTCTATTACGATGACGTGAGGGATCCGCCCTCGCGGACGCTACTACGCGGAAGCAGGCAAGACGAAAAGAATGAGAGAAAGGAAGATAGACTGTCTCGCCTGGCCGCGGAAAGAAATAAACGGCAGCAGATGGATCTCCATTCGGTGACAACGACGGGTGGAATTGCAGTGGCGAATCGGACGTTTCGGGAACCCCGAGATGGAATAAATGGAAACTTGTGTGAATTAACGTGTCGCGCGCGCGGTATTCAATATAACGACTTTAATCAATAATTGTACACAATAGTAGGAAAAACAGTAATAATGTCAGACGTGAATATGCTAAAAAATTGAGAAAATTTAACAGTCACAGGGTACGCGTTCGCTTTTTAATGATTGTCGAGAAATAATTCGAAACGTTGCGAGGAATACACATTGGTCCTGAACAATTGCCCAGATCATTTTATTTATATGCTGAATCCGCCACTGCGGCGAGAAACACGTGATTGTCGTACTTATTTTCTCTTGTATCGCTTTCTCCGTTTCCATCTCGCCTTCTGCTTCTCACGAGTTTACAGTAAATCTCGTCGCACTCGTTCATTGCTTTGACTCCAAAGTATGAAAATTTTGATTTTATTTTCCGGACACGAGAATTCGAGAACTCGATCCGTTTCCGGCAATGTTTCTCATCCGATCATCTCTTGTCGGCCAAGATCGAACGAGCAGAACGCGAATCGATGACCTTCGTTTTGTTCATCGATTTGCGGATTGACGTTTATAATTATTCAATCGATCGGTCGGTCGGTCGGTCGGTCGGTCGGTCGATCAGTTGGTCCGATATTTGGACTGAATCTGTATGTAATGAAGATTTAATTAAGGTGAATCTATGTATGATTAGGGTTTAATTAAGGTGAATATTGTCTGCGATTGGGAAAACATTTACATATAATATTTCCGTTGAATAATAATAAGTGGTTAATTTTAGTTAATAACGCTCGTAAAAATCACTCTAGCCTAATTAAATAAATTAGGACGATTGTCGAGGTGAGAATTCATATGTGCTGTTCGTATTGCTTCCAGACGAAAGCTCATCAACCGCACGTGAGAATGCGCGCACACACACACACACACACACACACACATACATATCATTTTTAAATAACAATCGACTTCATTTGTCATTAGCAAACTAACCAAAATAACGAGTTCTCTTTAACGGAAAAATGTCGAAACATTGATAGTTATGCGCCATTGAAAGTGAACGAAAATAAATGGTTTCTCGGGGTTATTTATATTATCGGGACAGCCTGAAACACGTCTACACGCGGCAGACATATGCGCGGACGTGTTCGGATGTGTATAGTAATTAAATTTATATTCTCCGCGACGCAGCAGTGCGCAGTTCGTGTTATTTGTATTCGCACATGGCGATGATGCACTTGGCGACGCATTTCCACATGAGCATATTAATTAGATATGTAAATATGTGTATGTGTATGTGTATATATATTTTTTTACATGCATATATGTATTTTTTTGTTTACTCTCTCGAAAAAGGCTGGTCCTTTCGGCGAATTTAGCGATACGCATTTAATGAAATCACGCGCCAGCTGTTCCCCCTGTGTAAACCTAGCGCAGCTGTGACAGATCAATTTCCCGGATAGTCAAACCTGCGCGAGCAAATTTCGAGCAAAGTTTACTATCAAATTCTGCCATCAATTTTGATGGCAGATAAGTAACAAATTTGAAGCAGGATCTGTGTTATCAAATTTTGTTGTCAAACTACCGTCAAATATGCAACAGAGCTTGCTGCCGGGCAACTTGCAGCAAAAACCGCGCGGGATAACATTTAGCGCTACGTTATGCACAGCAAGGTTTATGTGGTTTTTGCTGCAAATTTGCTGCAAGTTACCCGGCACTGAGCCTTGACGCCAAAGCAGGAGCTGAGTGCGGACGCAAATAGCTATGTGTCTTTAGTCGAATTTGCTGCAATTTGCAGTCAATTTGCTTACTGGCTTTATTAAAAATAAATTGTTCACTCCTTACAATGTCTCAATCGGGTCGCATCGTGTTGAATTATTATATAAAATCCCGTGTAAAAAATTAATAGGGCTCTGGTAAGAGCCTGATTATTTTTCTCTAACATTAATCGGGCCTTATAGTAGGGATAGAAAGACAAGAGCCCTGACTGAAGATGTATGACAAATGATTTAACGAATCCTTATAAGGCAATATCAACAGCGCCTAATAAGGCAATATTAATAGGGTCTTATAAGGAAATATTTTTATTATTGCTTGAATAAGAATATCCGTTCTTTTCATTCCAAGAAATTTAGACTGTGATTTCTTTATTTCTTTATAACCTTGTTAATATATAACAAAAACTTGTTATTTTAAAAATATAGTATACTTTATAATAGAACATAGCATTCCCATACGTAAAAATCCTGCTACTGTTTTCATTAAAGTTTGTTATATTTCAAAACAAAGACAATATTAGAAAAATCCTTGGAAAAGACTAATGAATGTAGCAACTAATAAAACTAATAAAATTCAAATTTTTAATTGCGGTATAATTAAAAAAACTTTTCAAAGAACCAGATAGAGCATACATACTAAAACAATACTAAACTATGACAATTTTATTACACACTTCAGATTTTATTAATTCTCTGTAAGAAAACTTAATTTTGTATATATAAAGCATCTTTAAATGATCCTTTAAAAGGCCCACATCAATCAATTCCATATTAAAGCGTTATTTCGTAAAATTTTAAGCATTCCTAAAAAATTCTTCTAAGGCCGTTCTCAGCTTTCCTTAAAGCCTTATTTATTAAATATAAGGCGTTCTTAAAAAATCTTTCCAAGGTCCTTCTCAGTGTTGCCTATCAAAGCTTTATTTGTTAAATCTAAGGCATCCCTAAAAATCCATCTCGGGGCTTGAAGTGCAGGTTATAATGAGGATCATCCCTTTTTAGGGATATTCTATTTTCAGCCTTATCGGGACCTTATGCTTCATGAGGATGGCCCTAACAATTTTTTGCTCAGGATGTCTTTCTCCGATGTCAAGAGAGACACGGTAATTATGTGCTCGCGTGGATATATTTAAAAACCGCACATAACAGATAATTAATTTAAACAAAAAATAGTTAATAGAAACGCAGAACGAGAGAGAGAGAGAGAGACAGAGAGAGAGAGAGAGAGAGAAAGAGTGAGGATAACTCACCGAGTGTTGAGTGGCAAAATTCCTCAGCCGTAGCAGAGACAAATTTCGGGTGCTGGATCTCAGGTTCCCCCATCCGTTCCTGACCTGTTGCTCTCTTCCATGACTGAAACAATAATACTTGTCAGTTGCATAAGCCGCTGTGCCAAGAGAGACGATCTCTGAAAAATAACGGAGATAATAACGGCGAATCTTACGTTTGCTCGAATTATTTAACAAATGTGAGTAATAGATGTCAATGTTTTTCTGATTCAGTTGTGAGGAAATGCGAGACGCAAAACAGTTTTACAATTAAGTTTAATTACGCAAATTAAGTTTTACACGTTTCTTGCGCCGATAACGATTTGCTGGAACGATCTAGCATTCCAGTAGTTCTATAGAAAAATCGCAATATCGAAAATTCAAAAAGACGTAAAGTTTTTATGAGAAGTCATTTTGTCTAAGTTTTCGAACGAATTTGCATCTTTATCAACAAGCGTCCAGTAAAAATTTATCCAATTAACACAAATATACCGAAATTGAAACAATTGTCAACAATTAATGTTACAGGTAACATATGAACGAAACTGAAGTCGATATTACGTTTTTGACTTCTGTATAATTCGTTATTTTCCGCCAATGCATTGCGATTTATGGATTATTTGTGAGCAATAATATTCTTCTCCCATGTATAAGAAGAAAAATCGAGGAAAATTATTTTCATTATTTAAGACTTCTACTTTCTATACGAGACGTTGTTTAGCTCTCAATGTCTATAATCTTTATTTGACAAAAGGCGAAGGGAATTGTAGAATTTCTCTAATTTTGAACAAAAATCCATAATCCGAGTGGTATGTCGTTTACTGGGATATTGTCAAACTATGCTCTTTTTGCGGCTTTAAGATTGTCTCCACATTGTATTCTCCAGATTATCGTAATATTGCGACCATATCTATAATTTCACCTGGTGTTTAACGAAAAGAAGATTGCTCTATTTTTCTCAACGAGATTTATCATTCTAGATTGTTCTCAACGAGATTTATCATTCTAGACAATCTTAAAGCCGCAAAAAAAAGAGCATAGTTTGACAATAGAGCAATGAAAAAATATCGAACCCGTTGAGAAAAATAGAGCAATGAAAAAATAAAATGGATAATGAAAAAATATCGAACGGTAATCTCTTTGTAGCAAAGGAGACTGTAAAAAGCGCAGTGGACATGCTATCATACGACAAATTTCCCGGATATATAACGGGTTTCTGCAAAGCGATACCAGATTCTATTAGAGTCATGGCGGCGTCCTTTGCAACGACAAGAACCTGCATCGATACGTCGCTTTGCCGTCGCTCGCGGGCGGAACGAAGTTACATCAGATTTTGATCCTTTACTTCATCCATTCACTGAAAATTCGCTCGAGATTCCTCGATATATCCCTCTTTCCCCTTTTTCTCTCCCTTTCCTCGGCATGTGCGTGTTGGCGCTTTTGCGGTTGAATTTTCAAGGAATACGATAGCAGATGCACAAATATCGACGAAGATGAAAGTAACTTTGCAGTGATGTAATAATATCGGTGACGTAATCTGACAAAAATCACTCGCGATTTACGTCGCCAAACGTTCGCGCATATTTTCGATCGTATTCTGTATTGTTACGTGGAAGTATGTAATATTCTTATGCACAAAAATTCGAAACATTTTTAGATTTTTATAATACTTACAAAAATATGAAAAACGAACTATCAAGGCTTCCTGCAACTCCACAATCAATAGTGTTAAAAAGAAGCCAATCAGAATATAAGCTAGATGTCAACGGCGAAGACGTTTGAACTACAAAACAAAAGATTATCCAAAAAAAAATTCGTTTGTGAGGGATGAAAAAGGGAAATCCTCTTTTAGGATGATTGTCTTATCGATAGATAACCGCTTCACTCCTTGGTGAACTTTTTACCTAGTATTATCATTCAAAGTTTCTTTCTGGCGCTAATATCGGTTAAAAACAGTTTTTAATTTCGTCGAGACGTTGAATAATATTAGGTGTACAAATGAATAATCCAAAATTTTTAGCTAAATTCAAAGTTTATTTTAAAAGAAAGTAAAACAAATTTGTCAATCAAAGTATTCGCCGTTGTTTTTTGTAGCTTTAAGCCATTTTTTAGGCAGTTGATGAATTCCGTGTCAGAAAAATGTCGTGTCCTTGGACACGATAAAATTCTCAAGCCATTCTCGAATCTCATCCGTTGATTTGAAGTGCATATCGGACAAAGCATTTTGTATCAACCGGAATAAATGGTAATCGGTAGGAGCGATATCTGGTGAATACGCCGCAAGATGTCCCAGCCAAGACGCATTATGAAGTCTTTTGTCGTAGAAGCAATGTGTGACTTAGCGTTATCATGCAACAATTTCACAGGATGTTCTCCTTCGCCACTATAGGGGCGTTCTCGTTTTAATTCTTGACTCAAGCGGAATGAATTGGTGTTGGTAGCGGTCCGCATTAATTGTTTCATTCGGTTTTAATAGCTCATAATAAATCACGCCCTTCATATCCCACCAAATGCAGAGCAGTTAGTATCTTCTTTCCAAAGTGTTTTGGCTTCGCGACCGATATTGATGGTTCGCCGGGACTTATCCGTGACTTTCTGTGTTTTAAATTGTCATAGAGTATCCACTTTTCATCGCCCGTAAACATTTCCACAAGAAAGACTTTCTACGCTGCTTCTTGAGAAGAGAAAGACACGTTGCTACTCGTTGATTTTTGTTGGCTTCAATGAGTTCATGCAGAACCCATTTTTCTTCTTTCAGAATCTTCTCCATCTCGTGTAGGCGTTTGAAAATAATTTGTTACGTTGCTCCTAACTGCTCCGCAAACTCTTTTTGCGTTTGTGCTGAATTCTCAGCGAGCAGTGAAAATGCGCTGTCAGTTTTTGGCACAAAGTGTTTGGACGTCCTGTGGAAATTATCATCCGTATGAATGATTATATGTGCGCAATTTTCGGGGAGAACAACTTTCTTATAATGTCATGTCATATTAGGAGTATGCAAAAGTTCCCGCCGTTTTTTCGCTTGCAAAACTCATTTATTTATAGAACAAAATGAAATATATCATCAATTAAAATATTGTCCTTCGGCAGCTACAACCTTTGTCCACCTATCAGGCAAAGCATGGATTCCTTCGAAAAAGAATTGTTCACTTTTAGAAGCGATCCAATCGTCGATCCATTTTTTGCAATTTTCGAAAAAAGTGAAGTGTTGATCTGACAAGCCGCTGGTCATTGATCGAAAAAGGTAATAGTCAGAAGGAGCAATGTCTGGTGAATACGGCGGGTGGGGTAGAAGTTCCCATTTGAATGATTTCAATGTTTCCTTGACTGATTTGTGAACGTGTGGTCTCGCATTGTCGTGTTGGAATATCACTTTACCATGTCTGTCGGCGTATTGTGGTCGTTTCAACTGCACTGCTCTGTTCAATTTGATGAGTTGTTGTCGATAACGATCACCAGTGATAGTTTCGCCTGGTTTGAGAAGCTCATAATACAAAACGCCTTTCTGATCCCACCAAATACAGAGCATAATCTTCGATCCATGGATGTTCCTTTTCGGCACTGATGTTGATGCTTTCCCACGACTAACCCATGATTTCCTTCGCTTAGGATTGCCGTAGTACACCCATTTCTCATCACCAGTAATGATTCGATGTAAAAACGACTTTAATCTTTGTCTAGCAAGCAACATTTCGCACGTGACTAATCGCCTCTCAATGTCTCTTTCTTTCAATTGATATGGAACCCACACATCTTCCTTTCGAATCTTCCCCATAGCTTTGAGGCGTCTGGAAATGACTGATTGGTCAACGTTCAATGCTTCTGCGAGCTCTTCTTGGGTTTTACGCGAATCAACATCCAATAAATGTTGCAGTTCGACATCTTCAAATTCTTTTGGCCTTCCGGATCGCTCATGGTCTTCAACGTTGAAATCACCACATTTAAACCTTTGAAACTATTCTCTGCATGTTCGTTCATGATGAAGCAGATTCACCATAAGCGTCCACAAGTATTCGATGAGTTTCTGCGGCAGTTTTCTTCACATTAAAGTAAAACTTCCCGCAAATGTCGTTTTGTTGGCTCGTACTTCGACATGTTTAACGGTGTAAAAAGATATGTAACTTTCGCAAAACAAAACCTTTTTTCTCTGATTGTTGTTGACAGATGTCAACAAACAAAGAATATGAAGAATATAGATAACAATGTTTGCGAAATACATAACTGGAGACATCTAGATGTGAACGGCGGAAACTTTTGCATACTCCCAATATTTAACACAAATTTATCTTTTATATGTATTTACATTTATATTAAGTGGTTTTCTTTTTTTTTAATAAAGGGTATCTTCAATTTTCGCTCGAAGAACGCTCCAAACTTCAACGTCGTACAATTTTTTTATCTTTCGAATATTCAAATAGTAACATCTCAAAATTTCGATATATAATGTCTCGAATACAATGAAAATTGAGAAGTTTAAAGCTGTGAGAAACAGAAGTTTCAAATATAATTTATAGCTCTACCGGAGCGACCTGAATATCGCGACTTTATTTATCGACCCTTACTCCTGCGATTCGTGGCTCGCAGTAATTAATGTAGCTAAGTTTTCTTTCACAAAGGCGGACGGGCAGGCAAGTCACGACATTCAAATAGCGTCGGCTCGAGTGAAAATGACGGGTGGGCGCAGCAAAGTGTTCCACGGAAATGTTTCATTTGCGGGAACCTCGCAGCAGGACTACTTCCGATTAGTCTTCCACGCTTACTTTTCTTCGCGGAAAGGCGTGAAGCCTGGGTCCAGAAAGATCGAGAAGGCCAGCGGGGTGAGAGAGAGCGGGGGATAGATAGATAGGGCAATGGGGACTCGTGAGACATAGAATGTAAATGTCAAGCGCAATGTTTCATGTTTTCAGCCTGCTCGCCAATGCATAAGTCGGGAATAAAAGTGAAAAGTATTAAGTCGACCAAATGTGTCTCTTCAGAAAAGCAGAAAAGCTGATGACACGCTGATGATGATTATGAATTCTTTTCTACTCCTGTTCCACTCCTCTGGTTCTACCAGAAATATTCCCGACGAAGTAGCATCAGAATAAA